GTGTGTGTGTGTGTACGTATATATATGGACACATATACATATACATATACATACACTATTTATATATATATATATATATAGAAACAAGTAGATATATTGTACCAGACGCATATCTTTTAGTGCAAATATGAAGTATCCTGGTAGTAGATTCCAATTGATTAACGACATATATACATCTACCTACCAGTGATATTGTCTTGAGCAGTCGCCGCACGAGCGATTAAACTAGCTGTCGGGTGTTGTATCTGCATCTCATTCAGTAACACATTGCCATCCTTTGTGATCTTAATGTCTCCGGCTCCACTTACAAGCATCTTAATGGTACCTTTAGGTCCCAGATTTGTCTTCAAGACCTCCTGTAAACCTAATGCTGCGCTAATATTGATTTGTAGGGCGTGATCGGCCTTTGCCACTTCGGCGTTGGGATTGAGGGCTTTAATGGCCGACATTGTGATATGATATGTGGGTTAGTGTATGAAGGTTGTGTAGCTTACGTACGAAGGCGTTCTTGATTGAATACGTATATATAAGCATATATGTATATCTCAGATCGTAGCAGCAAAGAACTAACTATCTTATCAGTAAGGGTACTGACTGTACACACCCTTGTTTCCGCTTCTGTTTCGTAAATATTTATTACACCTATTCGCTCTCTCTCTAGTCTACGCCGTTCCATAGCGTTGGTGTCAAATGTCGAATGTCAAAATATTGACATCCTGTCATCCATACCCCTCGTGGAATTCCACTCCGGTTTAATTGTCTTCTAAGCTGAAACCATGGCCCCGGTGCAAGGGCGGGCTAATGTCAATCCGTTGTAAAAGTTTGACGTAAACGCTTATTCAATCGATTTGTAAACGTTACAATAAAAGTAGTGCATACAAAACAATAAAAAAATAGTTTTCAAATCTTGTAATATAAACGTTGACGGTAAATAAACTATTATCTGTTCTTCTAAATGTTTATGCAAGTGTTATTTATCGCAAAACGTATTGATCTTAGCTAAATAGTTCGGGAACTTCGGGTGTACAGACTGTAATCACTTTTTTTTTAAACAACTTTCGAAAACAATAGACCTTAAATATTACAGAAGCCGGTTGTTTGTCTTTCAAATGTCTTTTATAAATACGCGTAAATAATAGTCTACACAAAGCATTCTAAAAGTAGATGCCAAAAGATACAACTATAATGACAGTCACGGACAAGGAACTCGAGGCTAAGCTCATCAAAGAGCTAGAGGCCGAACATGTGGTATGTATGCGCGTTCTTTCTCAAACAATACTCACGTGCACGCAGAGACGCGGAGACACACAACAACCAACGACTAACAACAGATGTATACATGCGCGTAGTTATATATATATATACATGTATGTATGGATGTGTATACCTATATTATATATATATGAATTTTACAGCATATGTTATCGTATAAAAACACAAACACACTCCCACTCTCTCTCTTTCAACACACATACACACGCACACACACAATCTCTCAGACGCACACACACAATCTCTCACCTGCACACACACGCATATATTTATATACGTATGTACATATACATATATATACGGAAACATATGTTCATATCCAAACACACACACATACACACACACATATATATATGTTTATATATATATATAGATATATATATATCCAAACATATACCCGTACATGCATCCATATATATATATATATGTGTGTATGGATAGATATATATATATGTATATATGTATCTATATATATATGTGTGTGTGTGTTACATATATATATTTATATATATATACTTATATACATACATATACG